CCTAAAACGAACAGTACATTCTAAATCATTAAAGAAAATAATACAATAATAAACTTACACATAAATTATGTGAGTAAAGTTATACAATCTTATTTATTGCAACAACTTAAACTATTATGGCACTTTGAATTACACAAGAGTCCCTTGCTTTTACAACTGCATTTATTCGTGGAACACTTCTTTTTGTAACGACAGCGTGTATAGCCTTGCCATCCACTTTTCGAATTAGCTGCAGCTGCTTCTCTCAGCAATATTTCTTGAGAAGAAATCCCATCTATGGAAAGTAACTTTTCTTTACAAATTATGAATTGATTACAGGTATAAAGCTGCTTGAGGGAACCATTTTTGTTTGCTAATTGATAAAAGTCAGAGTCTTGTATTCCAACAACAACAGCTAACACATTTCGGGCATCTGTACAGCCACGGTCGACATCAGGGACTTGTATTCGTACGGTATATCACCAATTTGAGCAGAAGGAAATTTTCTTCTTTGAGGTTTGTAACATGTTCGTTGCTTGCAGTAGATGATTCTCTTCTTTTTTATAGAAATAACTTTGTGATGTTCAGTCATGGCTTGATATGAAGACATGGTGGGTTGCAGCTCCTCTTCAATATTTTCCTTTGGAATATGGTATTCATTATGGTCACTGCTCAAATTTTCTTCAAAAGTATTAACAATTTCTTTGACCTCCACCAAAGCTTATCTGTGCTTGTCGACATACATGGTGATTGTTCGAATGTATAATAATATAATCAAATATTCAGGTCTTTCACCAACATATTTGGTATGTGTCAACATTCACCAGAGGATATCGAAATTCTCTAATTTTGGTCTTTCACAGTAACATATAAATATATATCGTACTATATGAATACTTATGTGAATTTTGGTTAATTAAAATTAGCATAACATTAAAAGACAGTTGCATTTCTTCATTATTTTATTGGTGCAAAGTGCTTCACCTTCATTTAAACAAACTGTAATTTACAAAATATATGCAGAAAACTTTTTGAAGTAATTTTTTTCAATATTAGAGGACTATAAAATATTGAACACATAATTAAAGGAAAAAGGTTTGTAAAAATTACATTATTACATGCAACAGGGGAGGGAGGGGTCAAAAATGACCCAAAAACTATACACATAATACAAACCCCTTGTAAACACATCAGATTATTCAACCTTAAGGTTTGTTATTCTTGAGTACTCATATATTGTGCATACATACATAAAAGCAACATTAACATTCTAACATCGTTTGATGTTGATTAAAAAAGTCGAATAACAATATCACTCAAGAAAATTTTATATTTAAATCAGCATAATTAGATGTCTATTCTTTATGCAACAAAAAGAAAGCTTCTTTTATCATAGAAAAAGATAGTAATTTTATTTTAAAACTGCATCAATACAATCTAACATCCAAGTTTATGTTTATTTGATTATGGCAACGTAATATGTGGGAAATCTGCTGAGGAAAACAACTCTTACGGGAAACTGTCCCCTATTTAAGTGTAACAAATGCGAATAAAACCTGAAAAACTCCAAATAGCATTTGGGTTCGTGCCTGCGTTCAGCGGTTTTATCCACTCAGTCATTAGTGAGTGACATCCAAGTTACTTCTGTACATAAAGCAAGAACAACATACAGCAGACGGCAAGTGATAAAGATAAAATAGCATTTTGGTTAATGTGTACCTAGGTATAAAGATTTGAAGTCCAAAACAGTTAAGTTTAGGAGGTGTCGATATCTGTTTAAGTACGTTAACTAGATGTATGTTTATGTATGTTAATCTAGTTAACATACTTAAACAGATATTGTGTACCTAAGTAGTACAAGATGGAGGCTCTTCTGGAAATCGTTAGGATGATAACTATAGAAAGTGTTTTTCGCAATCCAGTATATTTATATGCAAATCAATTAATACATCATTACTGCTTGTGAAGGTAGAGATATGTAAATATGTAAATTTTTAATTTGTCTCACTGTCATAGCATTTACTAGATGTTTGTGCCTTTAGAATTTTGATAGAACGTTTTGAATATTTACTTTCCTATTTTTTATTATTACTTTTTTATTTATTTTTAGAATTAATTATTTGTTTCTTTATAAGATTATTTTTCAAATTTAAGAAATAATGATGTCTGAAGATATTTTTTCTGAAGAATTTTGGAGTAAGTGTCATTCATGAATATTATTACTTCAGGTTATTTGAAAATGAATATAATGATTTAGGGCTGGATAAGAGAATTTTGTTGGATGTAAAACTAGCTGTAAAACTTGGTTTACAGCATGTCGAAGATGTTTGTACTAATTGTTCCTGTCTGTGTAAATTAGTGTACCGTGCCGACAGGAAATCCGTAGCGATGAGATGCACCTATTGTAAAAAAAATGGTTCTGCCTCTGTTGGTACTTTTAAAGGTAAGTGTAGACATATTTCTTGGGGCAACATATTTTCCTTCATATGGCACTTGTTGTGCGTAGAATGCATGCTAACAAATGCAGCCTTGGCTTGTAGTATTAGTAATCATACGTCTATTGATTGGGCAAACTATATATGTTTGGTTATGATAATAGCCTTGAATAACGTATCGTCATTTAAAATAGGAGGACCGAACAAAACTGTGGAAATTGACGAAACTGTAATATCCAGATGAAAATACAACAGGGTTGCAAATTGAAGGGCACAAGATGAGTAGTCGGCAGAGTGTGTGGTGAGGATAACATGCTTTATTTGTAAAGTTAACGACAGGAGTGAAGAGACATTGAATTGGATAATTTCAAAATTTGTTAATTCTGGAAGTACAGTTTTGACCGACGAGTGGAGGGGTTACAATCACATAAACGAAGTACAAGGTGTAGAAATAGTTCACCAGACAGTGAATCATTCAGAAAATTTTGTGAACCCTAACAGCGGTATACATACTCAGAAGATAGAAAGGTTATGGGGTGTGTTAAAAGACGAAACATTTGCCCAAACATTATACCGAAGAGTTGTTGGATTCCTATCTGTATATGTTCATGTACAAAAAGTTGTTTAAATGGCATACAATGAAGCCTGGAGAACATTTCCAATTGTTTGCGAAACATTTAAGTTTTATATATCCAGGATCAGGTAAGATCCCTGTATGGAAGGAACCAGTGACTGTGCTTGCTGCCCCAGAACCCTGAAAGAAAATGGAGGAAATGAAAGTGAAGAAAAATAACAAAGTTGAGAACAGTAGGAATGTAAAATCAACAAGTAAAAGTAAAGAAACATCCCAACTGGAAACAATTGGCAATCGTGTTGCTGTTAAAAGAAGGAAAAGACAATGACAAGTTTTGAAAACATAAGTAAAAAAATTTTTTTTTTGTTTTTGTAAACACTGGTTTTTTTTAATACTTAATTTAGATCTTATGTAGTCTGTAATGTAGAACAAGTGTCTAATCTAGAAATTTTAGTTAGGCGTCGATGTTTTCTTAGGTTGTCACGTGATCGCGTTTCGCTTCCAACAGTCATCGTTGGGAGCGCTACTAGTCTCAACCGGAAGTGCCTCCATCTTGGACTCAGGGTTGCCAGATTGGGCTAAAAGTAGCAGATTGGGCTACAAGTAGCAGATTGGGCTACCTTTTAAGTGCCCTCACTACAAAAATTTCAAATTGGGCGACACGCTACTTCTTGGGCTAGTGATAATTATCTTCAGGCTACAAATCTTAAAAATACACTACTTTTTTGTTTTCATATATAAAATTGCAACACATTTCTTGTATTATACAAAACTAATAAAGTTTTATTTAATTATTTATACAATTAAGTGTAATGAAAAGTTGCAACGTTTAACAAAGATAAAGATACTTTCTTCCGTTTTCCATTCGTCGTTCGCTCCAGTAGACAATCCACAATTTCACAAGCAAGGTCGCCTCTGTGCTTGTGAAATTGTGGATTGTCTACTGGCGCGAACGACGAATGGAAAACGGAAGAAAGTATCTTTATCTTTGCTAAACGTTGCAACTTTGTTTATTTATACAATTAAGTATAATGAAATTATATGTATTACCATCGGCCATGTTTTTATATTTTTTATTTTAAAGTTTTGTTTGTTCAATATTTCTATTTGCAATGAATGATAGTTTTACTGAAACGTAACATGTTTGATACTTGTTTAATTCTTTAGTACTTTTTAGCACTAAAACAAGTACAGTATTAAACGAGTATCGAACTTGTTACATTTTAGTAACTTTAGATCTGGCAACACTAGATATTTGTTTAGTTTGCACTGTTACCAATTTTTAATTGACTTTGATACAGGAATGGCAGCATTATCCTGTTGGAATTGCCAATTTTCTTTCCCAATAAGTGATCCAAAAGTTATTAAATTTTGATACAACAGTTCTTGATACAATGGAAACAGGGTGGCTTAAAACTGAAAACAAAAACCGTAGTCGCTAAGTCTCTAACTTCAAAAAATGAATCGCCTCACCTGCGAATGACTGGCTTTGATTTAGAGAGAAAATTGATGCAGATACACCGAATATATATATTACAAACTTATTTCATTAGTAAAAGTGCATAGTTGCAAAATAATTCATTTTTATTGTTTGGGCTACAAACAGTTCAAATCCGCTACTTTTGGAGCACAACCACGCTACTTTTTAACCTTCAGATCTGGCAGATCTGGCAACGCTGCTTGGACTACCTAGGTACACATTAACCAGCATTTTCAATGTTACAAACATCGCTTTCCAGAAATGTTAACTCTGGAATTAAATTTCATGTATTTCTAGCAATTCTTTAATATCCACAACTTATAAAATTAGAATGTTTTATTGTATTGTGTGAAAAATATCATTTTAATACATGAATTATAAAAGCTTTTATGAATATGGAATTAATCAAAAATATAATTAATTCAATTATTATGAACATTTGGGTACAGTCAATCAGAAAAGTCTTTGAAGTACAGCAGTTTTACGCTAAAATTAATGCAATCAACAATAATATAAACAATAAATAGCCTACTTTTAATACGAGTGGACCTCCTCGACATTGAATCGACCATTTCGAAACTGACATTTACGCCCCCTTTCGTTTCGAATTTGCAACAATTACATAATGTTGTGTAATATATAAAAATAATAATATAATAAACAAATACAAGACAAATAATAATATAATAAATATAATATAAAATATATGGTCTTAGGGTGTCAGGCTAACATTAGCCGCTTTGGCCATCCGGCCATTATTACAGTCAAATCCCGTTGATCCGAATTTCTGGAATAGTTGTTTATTCTTAAATTTTTGTAAATTTTATGGAAAGTTATTATTTTTTATAATGTTTTTGAGGCCATTGAAAACATTATTTACGATCTTAATATGTACTGTATTTAATGTGTTTGCAAGGATAATAATACACACTATTTGTACTGTACGTACTGTGTAACTTTTATGTTCTTATTTATAAAATGTTAATGTTCTTATTGTTTTAACATCAATAAAACACCGAAATTTATCTTCAATCATTAAAGAAAAACAATTTTCAGTATGAAATTTTAGGATTGGTTTATTTGGTTTATCCGGATCCTCTTCTGTCCTGTAGAAACCGAATTCCTTCAGTCATCCGATAGACTATTATATAATGTTATTTCTGTAATTATACTAGAATTTTGTCATTACTGGTGGATGTAACCTTCAATGAAGCCGATTACTTGATATGTCAACTGCACCAGCATGTCAATGCTAGCGATGACTGAACGATTAAGATGCCAGCCTATTCGAATCCGGGCACGATCGATTTGAAAATAAAAGCCCTTTTAGCCCCACTGGGAAAGAATATGTAAAAAAAGAAGCAAACTGCTTATTTTTACATGACAATGCGATAAGGGGGGGATCTGCCGAGAAGAGATGCCTATCGGGAGGACTTCCGATGGGACATATCTCTAAATAGGAATCAATGAAACTGGTTCCTATTGAGATGCTACAAACATAAAGAAAACCCAGAAAGCTTCACTTGACCAACTCTAAATGTTGTTCTGTGATCAGTGTCTTTTGATATGCAAACTTTTAGGGTATTACTCCTATATTGCTTACAGCATGTACAGTAGAAGCACTACGGCACATCTTCGGGTAATTCGAACAATGCTTTGACATGTGTATGGCAGAGTTAACTACAAAAACAACAACCGTCATAGACTCTTCCTTGGGCTAGGACCAATGAAGTGGAAATACTGGCTTTTTGCTCATGTTTACGTTTGCCGCTACCCGAATGTGTTTCATGATTGACCCCGTTTTCTTCAAATGTGTGATACAAGTCCATTATGAAAAAAAAATCACAAATACGACAAAACTCGTGTTTAACAACTGTCACACTTTCAAACTTTGCATACCAAAGGATACACTTAGCCCACTGCTTCATGGTCACCCTGTATTTTTCTTATCTACCTTGTATTTTGTATGGCGTTTGCTTTACATTTTTCTTCAAATAATGTGACTTTTCTTCATATTGTTTGTGACACAAAATTATTCTTTTAATTCTTTTTAGTATCCGCTAATTCTCACATACAGTATTTTAATTTACCTCCTTCAAAACCTTTTGAACCAAGATTTTGAGTAGCATTTTGCGTAGGATCTCAAAATGCGGTTGCTCATGTGCGACTGACTTCCTTATAATTTAATCCTCTATTACACAATTGAACATTTTATTTCTATGCCGTCGATCGGTATAAATAGCTGTATTTTTATTGCTTTCGAATAAACAATATCTACTTTCTATAAGTGTTTATTTTAAATCCTATAAAACTACAAACACCTGCAAATAACTACCATTTTGATCGATTTGATTTGGTGGGAAACAACGCAACTCAGGACGATCTGCCAAGGAAATATCTCCCCAAATATTCTTAAAACGTGGTCTTTCCTGGATATGTTGGGCCCTCCCTCACCACTCGTTTTTATGGTGAGTAGGGTCATCATAAAGGCGATGAGTATGAGAAAAAGACTCTCTTGGAGCCAATTATAAAATTGTCCAAATTGAGCAATATTTCTAATTTCTTTGTTGTATTTTGGCGACGAACTTCAAACTTCTATTCATACAATAGCTTAGGCTGACATAAGCTATTGTATGGAATGGTTAGACATTTTACTACAATGTACAGTACGTCTCTCCCACTCGACTGTATTGTAATACAAGAAAGATTGTTTCACAGGAGCATCTATCAAAAATATTCCATCAGAATATATATTAGTATATGAAGAATATATGTTTTTCTACTGGCAATAACTGGATAAAGAACACGGTATAGACTGTCAAATCTCTGAACAACGGCCACTGACGGAAACATAAAAATCACCGTTGTTAGGTGGAAGTTCGCCCGAACTTTCAACAATAGTCTGCTTCAAACAACGGCCATTTTTATGTTTCCGTAAGTGGCTATTGTTCAGAACTTTTATTGTTTGTCTCGTCCCCTGTTCAGTTATTGCGGATAGACATACAAATGTCCTCCATTTTGTTTCTATCGATCCATCAATTCCCTTCTTTCTATTCCTGATAGTTTTTTCCTCTTTTCTCTACGTCAATCTTGATTCTGCTCATCTGTCTAATTACTGGTACGTTTATTTCAAATTATTTTTCTTGGTAATCGATCTTTGTTTATTCTCTGATGATGTCCATACCCCTTTAGTGTATGAATTTTCTCTCAAATATTTATTTCTTTATTAATTTCTGCATTTGTTATTCTAACTAGTCTTGTCTTGTTTGAAGCTTAATAACTCTTGTGCATTTTGTCGAAAATTTCTGAAATTTTGCAGAGAGGTTTATGTATTTGGGGGATTGATGCTATTAAATTTTGGTGGTTTAAGGTAGAGGGGATGAGAGATAAAAGGTATCTCTAGTAGGGCTGGACTTAATGACGATTTTACTCGTTATTAGTGTTTACAACTTTTTTTATAAACCCATTGCTGCTCTCAAATTAAGCTTTTTGACATTTTATAATAGTCAAAAATATAAAAAATAAAATATAACAGATGGCGTCAACAAATGTTTCCGGGAAAGTTAAGCATTAAGCAATTAAAATCCAACCATTGCTGAATTTTAATTAAGTAGATATAATTTTCTGTTATTCTTATCACTTTAAACTTGATCAAACACCTTTCAAAGTATATAAATATCAGGTATAGATCAGTAGCAAATCTCCATTGTGATTCTTAAGACAAAGGTGAAGTCAATTGTGGCTCTGTTGAATTTCTGTGAGTTTCTTCATTAAAATTTTGGATACACTGTACCTTATTAAATATATATCCAAAATTCCAAAATAAATAAATTACCATCCCGCTTTAATTAATTATTTTTCTTTTTATATGCTATCACCTGCATCCATAATGTAAAATGACTTCACTTTTTACTTATTTGTATTAACATTAGAAAGTTCTCCGGTTAAGGTCATTTTTTAAATTTTAAATAACAGAAACTGTAGAGGTTTTATGGATAATTAATGAAAGCTTTGTTTTCTTTAACTCTTTCCGCTCAATTTTCTTTAACTCTTTCCTTTTCAGCAAGCCCATAATGGATCACTGGATGATGGACGATGGATCCGCTCTTCAAGGAATAACTGCATAAAATATATGGTAAATTAAAAGTCGAATTTGATTTAAAATCTTTTAATTAAGAATATTTAATTAAAAGAATTCTCATTAAACATTTATAAATTCCGAAAATAGAGCCAAGATTTCAATTTAAAGTTCAATTTATCAAAGTTTCATTTGATTGATTGAACTCATTTATTATTAATTTCATTAATTTCAATGAAATATCTTAAACTCGATTAGTTAATTAAGTTTTAGATGTTGACCAGAAACAGCCAATAAACAATATTATTAAACAACGGAAACTCATTTCTTAGTTTGGCTTGAATTCAACATCACCTACTTCAACGATCATGACTTTGACTATTGTCAATGTCACTGGATCAAGGTTACACTATAGCCATTTTAAATGCAAATTATTCTTAAATTTAATAATATGTAAATGAAGAAAATTCAATAACTGGGATAGTAAGATTGCATAAGTTTGATTCCTAGAAACAAGTGACGATGCAATGATTATTTGAAAAAAAACGAAGTTACTTTTATATTCAGACAACTGTTTTCATAATTAAATTTTTATTTACATAAAATAATTCAGAAAAAATTGTGTAATTTATAAATACGTAAAGAAAACACCATGAAAACACGTGGCTTGCCAGCTGATGAGGCGCGAACCATGATGCTTACATCATGGTTCGCGCCTCTTTGCAAGGTCTTCATGAAATTTTCTTTGCAAATATCTTTGAAAAGAAGATTTGTATTATCTGTTGTTTTCGTAAAGTAAGATGTAATTTGAAATGATGTCATAACGTTAGTTTAACATTGTAAACACTCCTTCTTTCTTTGATCAACATGAACTTACAAGTTTCTCATTCGGGATGATTTATGAATTCATTATTAAAAATATAATATTTTCTTTTTCTAATTAGTCGGAAGGATGCTTTACGCCTTTTTATTAAGAAAACAGCACTCGGTATAACAACCTTCGTTGTAAATTACCCATTTCTTTATCCGTGACGGACATTACAGAGATTTTATCTTACAACTAACCTCGACATTTCATTTCAAGGATTTTTTTAACTAGCAAATAAGGTGATAATGATGTTTACTCAGCAAAAATGCATTTTTTAAACTTTTATTTTCAAACTATCGACCTACCTCTCATTCTTAATTTAAAAAAAAAAAAACTTTTCTTAACAAAGATATAATTTCTTTTAATTATAAATGAATTTATTATAATTTTTATTGTAAAAACAAATAGATGAGCTTTTTAGTCAGCCATTAAATGTGCCATTCTAATCTCTGAAGGACTGGTTCGAGCCCGTATCAAGAATCTCAAGAATTGTTTGTAGACATGTAGAACTTTGCTAGAGCAATTAACCCATGCTCATATCTAGTAATGACCGGAGACATCGCCCAAAGGGGCCCTTTGCTCACGTTGATAAATATGTATATATTTGTATACAAAAATTCATTTTTAATCAATGTTTTCACGAT